ACTATTTTTAACCGTAAAATAAACAATAACAATACCTTCTTACCGTTAAAGAAGAAAATGTTCCACCCGTAATTTTACGGTAGATTTCTGGCAACCACAGCTGCCAGCGTTTTACCGTAAAATCTACAGGTTTTTTTTTTACAGTGTAAGTTTGATATGATGTTTAAGTTAGGCAGCTTCCTGGCTGATGCTTTCCTAGCCATCCCACTTTGTATCGCACTCGTACTTGCAGGAAGCAGAAGTAAAGCTAAAGGGGGGTATTGGGTGTACTAGACCTTATTTATTTCAAACATTTTTCAGATTAAGACAGAAATAAAATCAAGTATTATATTAATTAGACTGTATTATTATTAAAAATGTTGAAAAAACAACATTTTCTGAAGGCCAATAAAAATGGACATGGACCAGTAAAACTTTAAGCCATAGACCCGGGGGTGTTCGGTTTGACACTGAATTATTATTAACTTTAACCCCTTAGCAGTCCTATTAGTCCCCTAAACCATCCAATGTCCCGTGGGCGGTACGTCCGACTGCTAACAGTTTAATTATTAACATCTACAATGTCAATACATCTTCCTTTCAGGAGCTCAACTTTGTATCAAAGCTCAGGGCAAACATCAGAATGCTGATACGCTTGCTTTTCTTTACTGCCCCTAACACATGCTCCTTTTAAAGACTTACAAAGAAAAACTCAGTCATTCGATATCGCACTTAAACATGCAGACACACATGCACAAAAAAATATACACACACTAAATGTACCTCCGCGAAGAGATATAATACTGTCACATAATTTATGCCTTAGTTTAGATTGCAGGTGTACATTACTTTATTTGACATTACTGTACATTAAATTATTTATATTTGCATTTAAGGAAATATTTTCTTAAAAAAAAAAGCTTTATTATGTCATGTAAGTGTAATGAAAGAGTTTAGTTTGTTTTTTTATACGTAGATCTTTTAAGTAGTAAAGCTATTAAAGCAATTTCTAAAATAGAAACAACTAACCTGCTTGTTGTGAAAGTGAAAGACCTGTTTTTTTGTCATTTGAATTTTTATTACTGCTTTTTAATAAGAGAAAAAATAATTATTATCTGTTTACTTGATTAACCAATGGAATAATTGATTAATAAAATAATCGACAGCTGCAGCCCTAAAGTGGAGGAAGATTGCTGCAGGTGATAAAACAACTACATGGAAAAGGTACTTTTTGGATGTTACTACATAGCAATATAATGGCGCCGATGGAGTTAAGGCAAGATGGAACTTCTTGTAGAAACTTACAGATTATCAGAATCAGAATCAGAATACTTTATTCATCCCGAGGGAAATTATATTATATTTATATAGTTATAAACTTTAA